TATACACTTATTTGTTAATTAAATTGATTTCTTTAGTGCCTCTTTTAATTTATTTGGATGATAAACTATCAATGATAGAAGTAAAAATAGAAAATTTTTAGTTTTACTATATGGTTGTATGTTCCCACTTTGATTAATTTTAATCCCTGAGTCATGTCGTGACTCTAATTTTTTTTATCCTCATAATTTCTTAACATTTAGAATTAAGTGCAATTGTGCAAAATGTAATTTAGTGCTATTTTTTTACTTTTTTTCCCACATTTGTTTGATAATATTTAAAAGTGATTATATCAACTAATAATGCTAGAAAATCATGTGATTCTTGGTGTGGTTAAGTTTAGGTGCTTTGGATCTTTTTTACAGAATGGAATATTAGTGATCACGGAACATCTAAAATAAAAGTTTTGTAGGTAAATTTAAGAATTGTATTGTGATTACTTTTGATAAGAGAACATTATGGTAGTTTAAAGGTTATTATATGTCATCCAGTTTGGATGTTTCTAGAGTTGGGTCATCCAGTTTGGATGCCTTATAGAGTTGACGCATAGGAATTAACTTTTTTTTTTGTAAAATATTGTTTTTCCAAGTTTATATTAATGGGTTTGCTTAAGTTTGAGCCTTAATTTGAAATGGATTAATTCAAGTACTCAAGCTTGAAACTGGGTCATTACACTCAAATTGTCATCTTTATGTGTCAACTTATAAAAATATTTCATGTAGGTTCACAATGTAGAGGTTCTGTATGAATTTTTTTTTTTTTAAAAAAATTGATGGAATAGTGGAAAATTTTCAGAATTGGTCGGCTCATCTTTATCTAGGTTGAACTCTAGTAAGCCAGATGTACTTTGCTTTTTGTTTTTTCCTATTGTTTTTGGTGGTTTTAATTTTCACCTTTGTAGGGTTGATGATACTGGCTTTGATGCTTATTTTCTCACTTATATTTTTTCATTTTCTTCTCTATTTAGTGGAGTTAATATTTCCTTTACTTAATAGGCGGCTCTTTCTGAATTTTATTGAATATCAGATCTACCTTCTTCAATTCAATTCTTTTGAATTTACTAATTTGCTTGCTTTATTTATTTAGTGGATGATTTGCTTCGTTTGTTTGTGATTTTATTCTGGTTTCTGCTTTTTCCACTTCTCATTATTATCATCCCTTTCTATTTCAGTGCCTGGTAGTGAAGGTCCGCCAGTTAATATCAGTTCTTGGATCAAAATTATTTCTGCTTGTTTCCAGATTAGGTATGCATATATGATGCAAATATAAAGAACCAATGCTTTACCTGCTAATCATTAATGGTCAAGCCAGTTAACTCGGTTACAGTTGTTTATTATAATTTTTTAGGTCCCTTGATTCTCCGGGCGGAACTGCATATTCTATTGAATTTCATGCTTTTTTTTTGGAAGATTTAAATACTTATCACTTAATTTTTATGTATTTACATATTAACACCCAAACTTTAATTATTACATACATACCACCTTACCTATGCTTAAAATGGCGTTTTTCACTTTCTAAAAGTTGAAATGATGGTATTTTTTATATGATATGAAAGATTTGGGTAGTTTAAATGTAAAAAAGTATAGTTTAGGTGTTAGATATGTAAATATATAGGAATTAGGTGGTATATATATGTAAATGCTCCCCTTTTTTTTTGCAGGGTTTTGATTTTTTGGATAAGCTGTTCATACACTGTTCGACTGTTTTTATTACAGAAAATTTCAGTCTATCTTCTCTGCTTCTGAAGCTGAAGAGGTCCTTATTGTGATTATTCGCTTCTTTTTAGCTCGCCAAGTCCAAGGATTATCATTTATTTTAGCAGAGTGCATGCAATCAATATTAAGTTTCTTTGCTGAGAATGAATGGGCTATCAGCTGTGAGAAAGTTGCACATGCTATTGCTTATAGGTAATTCTTTGAAATGGATGAACTAATTAAAATTATATTCCACTTACTGGTTGTATATCATCTCATTCATTTTTCCTTGTTCATAGATGATAAAATTCAATTTAATGGCATTTACTTACATACCACCCAATTCTATGTATTGTCATATCTAACACCTAAACTTTAATTTTTACATTCATTCCACTCAAATCTTTCATATCACATCAGAGGTACCACTATTTCAACTTTTAAAATGTGAAATACTCTTTTTTATGCTTAGGTAGGTGTCATATATATAAAAAAGGTGTTAGATATGTAAACACGTAAGAATTGAGTGCTATGTATGTAAATCTTTCTTTAAGTTCTCCTTTTCTAATTTTTTTTCTATTATAGATATATTAAGTTGATAGAGTTCTTGCTTATCATAGAAGATTTGATTGATGAACATGTTAATGTCAACTGCCAGAATGATACCCATTTGTTTGAGTCAATATGTTCACTTCCAGCAAACAATAAACGTTAGGGGCGTTTGCATCATAGCGCAAAATTCTTTTTTATTTGCATATCTTGCACCGAAAATTTCATATTCATACACATAACACCTAAATCCTTAATATCATATAAAAAATAGCACTATTGTCACTTTTAAAAAGTGATACAACTTTTCATGCATAGATTTAAAGCACCAAAGTGCAATGTTTGTAAATATGAAAGATTAGGTCTGAGATATGTAAATACATAAGAATTGTGTGATACATATGTAAATTTCCCAAAACATTATTCTGATAGTTATGGATTCTGCCTAATTGTGCAGAAATTCTGACTTATCCAATCTTTTGAATTGCAGCGTTCCCAAAGATCTTAATTCCTTAAGGGTTGTTGAATGCATTTCTGGAACAAGCAGTCGCCATAACCATCTCAGGGGTCGCATTGCCATCCACATGCTAGGAATATTATTTGATAAAAATGTAAGTCTTACCTCCGCACAATATGTACATTTATTAGTTTGCTTTTAGTTACCAATGCATTTTAGGAAGATTTACATACATACCACTCAATTACTGTGTATTTACATATCTAACACCAGAACTTCAATTTTTACATATATGACACCTCATCTATACATGAAAATGTGTATTTCACTTTTTTAATGTTAAAATAGTGGTATTTTTGTTGTGATATGAAAAATGTGGGTGCTGTAAATGTAAAAAGTAAAAGTTTAGATGTCAGCTATGTAAATACTTAGAAATTGAGTGGTAGGTATGTAAATGCCCCAAATTTTATCAACACGATCATAGTGAAATCTGCAGCATTAGAAATATGGAGCAGTCATTAATTGGGTGAACCTATATAAAAAATTATGGTGTGTTTTATTGGGTATTAGTATCTTACCTTTATTTTCTTTTGGTAATATTAATTTGTTCGTAAATTAATCTGCAACATGTAGCCATCTCATTTTCTGCAGTATTATGGTTTTTAAATTTTTATTTAAAATATTTAGAAATGCTCTTTGTTATTATTGCCACCTCTTACAGGTTTCTGATGGACAAGGAATTATGAAGTCTCTTGTATCAGTAAAATTGAAAGATAAAAACACTGATTTTTTCACTTTGTACATCTATTTAGTTCTATCGGAGAATTGGCTTTTATCTTATGATTCAGGGGAACAAAGATCTGATATTCTCAATATGTGGGCTAAATTTCTCCGAGATTGTTCTGGCAATATTTCAAGTACAGACTGGAGACTTTATGCTGCAAAGGTAACTAAATATTTATTTTTTCATGAAAAATTTTTAGGTTATCCTGATCAAAATTTATTGAAATAAATTTTTATTTTTTGCTCATATATTGCATTAATTTTAAAACAAATCTAATGATTTTGAAATTCATGCTAATCAAATTGGATTAGAATATCCCTATCCTTTTTTTTTTTTCATTTTTATAGCTTTTATGTACAAGCCTGTTCATCTGAACCTTACCATTTTTTCGCAGGTCCGTAGTAAGGCGTCCTACCTTCTACAGAGTACTATTAGTGAAAGATGAGTTGCCAAGGTTTTTTTACTTTTATATTCTATTTTGGGGTTACAATTTTTTGAGAATATGTCAATATAGCTAATCTTAACAGAGTTAGCATTGGCTGATTTAATTAGTTATCTTTCACTTGGAAGCCCTTGGTTGATTAGTTCCTTTACGCAATATACAAAAGTGTAGTATCAGCTTCTCTTAATACTTCTCATGACTCTAGTCTTTGAAGCCATATTGGACCCCTAAAGCTTCAATTTTGTTGATTCACAAAATTGTTCCATCTTATTTGGGTTAATTTTTTATCATTATTTGCAAACTTTAATTTTTTTAAAGTTTATTTTAGGAATAGCATTGTTGTGTGCTACAATATATTGAGAAAGTAGAGATTGAATTTATTTTAACGTTAAATAAAAATGTTGCACGCACAATTAAGTACAAAGTAATTTATAAGAGACATGGTTTTTACGTGGAAAGTCTGGTAAGGGAAAATTCATAGGGACTATTCCAATTGTAAAGATATAATGTTGAAATTCAAAATAATGCAGAATAAAGTTGAATACTTCATTATTTCATTGATATGAACGGAGATATAAATAACCCTTACAAGAATCCTATAATAAGAAAAATAATAAAAAAGAAATGATATGAAAGGAAAGATATATCACATGATATCTCCAATAATTAATTTATATTAATTATTAGAAGATATAAGAAATAACATAAAATAGGAAAACAAATAATTCCTAATCCAAGAAAATAAATATAAAATAGGAAAGTAAATATCTCCTTATATTAAGAAAATAATTTATTCATCATAACTTCTTATAGGAATAAATTATTTCTTATTATAATTCTTATCACCCCCCACCCCCCTCAAGTTTGAAATATATGTTAATAATTCGTAACTTGTTGAATAGTAAAGAAAAATTGGTCTTTTGGATTACTGAATTTGCTAGATTCAGGCTTGACTGAATTTTGAGTTTTGTCTATCATATGTTTTGGCGTAGGAGAGACATTCAGGCTTGGCTGAATTTGTTGGATTCAGACTTGTTTTAATTTTGAGTTTTGTTTGCCATATGTTTCGGCGTAGAAGAGAAATTCAGACTTGGCTGAATTTGCTGGATTCAAGCTTGACTGAATTTTGAGTTTTGTAGGGACTTTTATTTTATCGTGGTTTTTGTTGGCTGCAGAAAAAAAAACATATAAATCACACCTAGTGAATTCTGCTGACAGAGAAAATAGCAGAAGAAAGGGTGCCTAGAAACAAAGCCCCCCTGATGCTTGGGTCAGGGAAGAAAAAAATACTGCAGGAGAAATGACCGACTGGAAACGCAGCTCCCCCTGACGCTTGGGCGGGGAAGAAAAAATACTGCAGGAGAAATGACCGGCTGGAAACGCAGCTCCTGACGCATTGGCAAAGAAGAACAAAAAAACACTGTAGGAGGACGGGCCGATGATGGATTTTGTCGGCATTGTTCGATCCACGATAGCGATATCTCCGACGAGATGATGATGAGGCGGGTGGCGGCATCGCTGGTGTCACCCTAGCTGGAGCCCCATTGGATTGGTGCCTCATCACTAGTGCTGGCATAAGAGGATACAATGCAGGAAGTTTTTTTTGGGGTGATGTATGGCAAAACTCCAAAGCATCTTTGCTATCATGGTTTCTTGGGAGTCGTGCACAGAAGTGAAGTAAGATTCCCCGACTTTGTGAAAGACCTCGGAGAAGGAGAACCCTCCAAAACATCAATCTGTGCATTTCTAGGCGATGATGGTGGCAACAAGCTTATAGTCGGATCTGAAAAGTTAGGAGTGCGATGCAGATGGTTCCGCTCCATCATCGGCTGCGGTGTGCTGACTGGAGGAGTCTCTGATCGCAATCTAGCCTGCAAGACATTAGCCGCATTTGTAGGCAAAGATGGAGTAGAAGACGCCGAGAACGGAGGCGAGAGCCGATATTCCTCAAAACTGAAGCTACCCTTCATAAGAATAGATCTGTATCCAATGAAATCTCTTCGTGAAACACGATTAATAGGTGAAATCGATGACTTGGGTGAAAAGTTACGGTGCGGAGGGGAGCTAACATAGCCCTTGTGAGGGCTACGACTCGATCTATATGGTTCATCATATCGATACTTGTGGCAATTGTTACAGTAAGTTCATCGTGCAAGATCTTGATTTCCGCATGAAGGATTCTGGCATATCCTATCACCTTCCCTTGGTGACAAATTTGGATCATTTATGTGGACCAACTCTCTTCCATACAAGGACATTATATGTGTGGTTGAATCGATCCCTCTCGTGTATGGTCTGCAGCCCCTCCCAAAGGTAGGGGGTGAGAAGTCACAAAACCTGCCACCTCCTTGTCTCCCTCGCATTCCACGACCTGAATATGGTCTGCGAGGGTGTCTAAAATCTGGTTCAAAATAACCATCATCTACCCTTGGTCAGCGCAGTAGTGAAATAGAACCGGGACATTTATGTGCCCTGGATCAAGCTGAAACCTTTGAGACCATGGATGGAACGCCAGAGGGGACCCGTGCCATTGAAAACCAATAGCAGAACCATGACGCTTTAAACCAGGTTGGGGCGAAAGGTTGCGGAGTCCTTCAGGAGACCTCCGGAGATGCAGCGGCGAGTAGCCCCCATGGTGTCGTCTGGACGACAGAGAATCATGGGGATGAACATCTTGCGGAGAATTGAGTCGGCCCTGATGCGCGGACCCGGAGACGGTGATAGGGATAGCGCCTCTGGTTCAGACTCCGAGGCAGCATCGAGATCGAACTCACGGGAGCGCATCTTTGTGATGCTTTCCATGGCTTCTGTAACCTAACGAGGTGGCGGGGAATTAGGGATTTAGAGAAGAAAAAATCGTCATTTCAATTATCAAGATGAGTGTCCCTCCCTTCTCTCATAGAGGATGGCAGGAAGGGAGTCCGACAATTCTCAAAGAAAGACCGGTAGCTAGAGTACGAAATTAGACTCTAATACCATGTTGAAATTCATAATAATGTGGAATAAAGTGAAATATTTCATTATTTAATTGATATGAACGATAGTATAAATAACCCTTACAAGAATCCTACAATGTGAAAAATAATAAAAAGGAAATGATATGAAAGGAAAAATATATCATCTGATATCTCCAATAGTTAATTTATATTAATTATTAGGAGATTTAGGAAATGACATAAAATACGAAAACAAATAATTCTAATCCAAGGAAATAAATATAAATAGGAAAGGAAATATCTCCTTATATTAAAGAAATAATTTATTCCTCGTAACCTCTTATAAGAATAAATTATTTCCTGTTATAATTCTTAACATATAACTATAAGTAGAATATTACAAATGGCATCTTTTACTAAAATTGGGTAAGGAGGTATCACAATGTTACATGTATGAACTATATAAATGATCCCATATGATGGGTAGTGGTTTCAGGTGTTGGAGCTGTCATCAGATATTGGTGAGTGATTTTCTGACTCCCTCGCTTTATGGGAGGGGAGATAGAGAATGCAGCTCCAAATATGGATTATGGACATCAGTTATGGGTCATTGCAACTATTTGATTATGATTGTTCTTGGTGCGTAAAATATCAAGTGAGGGTTAATGTTCTATTTGGTTATTTTTTTTTATTGAATGGGAGATCAGTGACTAGGAAAGTGAATGTTGGTCATCAACGGTATATAAACGTTGATGATAGTTGACGGTGAATGTTAGATTTAGGATTATAATTTGTGGTTTACTCGACCATTCTTCTGATCGGAATTGACAGCCAGAAAGGTGGTCATCAGATTTCAGTGACTAACGGATATTGAACATTAGTAGATATCAAATGATGGTCTACTGAAAATATCTAATGTTAATGATATGTTTGATCATTAACTTTATAATATAAGAGTTTGGTGATTAGGAAGAGTGACACTGTACTTAGGTGCTGATAGACATTTGACTTTGACTATCATCAGATAATGATTGTAGAAAATTAGGCAATAGTCAGTTATTTGTTCGGTCATTTTCCTTATATGAGGGGACACTGCCGACTAGGAATGCAAGCATTGATGGTTAATACATGTTAAATGATGTTCGATTGGGAACATTTAGTGATGGACAACGGTCGATAGTTTTTTAAATATATTTCTTATAAAATGGGAATCAACATAAAAAAAATATGTGTTAGATGTTGATGGAGGATAAATATCGAACATGCTTTTTTAATCATTTTTCTTATAAAATGGGAATCAACATAAAAAAATAAAATAAGTGTTAGATGTTGATGGAGGATAAATATCGAACATGAGCTGACAATGGCCATTGGGTGTTGGTTAATGGTTTATTTTATCATGCTTCATAGAGAGGGTAGATTGGCAACTAGGAAGGTGAGCGTTGGACGTCAGTGGCTGACAAATATCAGAAATTTGCAAGCATTAGAAGATGTTGATTGGGCATGTCAAGAAATGGTCAATGTTTTGTTTGATCGTTCTTCTTATATGATGGAGATCAAGAAATAAGAAGTCTAACGTCATATTTGATAGACCCCAAACAAGAGTTGAATGGAAATATTAGGCATTAGGCGATTGTCAATAGTGCGCTAAATTCTTGTTGTAATAGGGGAGACCAATAACGAGCATGATGGTGTTTCATTTGAGCATGACTTGGTGCTATATTTTTTGGAGTGTTAATGCCGAAATTTAATATTTCACATGACTAACAGTCCTATAGCAACACTTGTCAAGTCAAGTAAGCTTGATGCAAATGCACCTTGATTTCAAAGAAAATATTACTACAATGTCCATAAAATTAATTGAAGTTGTCTTCATCTAGAAGGAGAAATATGTTGTCTGGGTTGTCAACATTGTCCTTGCTACAAAGAAAAAAGTGATATGTTGTCTGGGTTGCCAGCATTGTCCAAAAATTGGTGGGAAGTCAACTATTTCTCTATCGAGAAGCACAATCAAACTTTGATATTTATCGTGCAAAGGCTCAAACACTATATTGTGGTTCACAAAGTCACCTTTGATCTCAAGAGTGATCTGTCAAATTCTCAATGATAAAGACCAACACGCGCAAAACATTTGGCTAAGTGGCTTGTGTTGCTATTGTAGTTGTCTTAACTGATATAATGTCATCATATGCTATACCAATAGACTTTCCCTTTAACACTGATCTGCTTGAAAAGAAGGTGATTAACATTGACAAGAAAAATATACTTTAGATGGAGCATTTGCCCATCAATGCCTTCTTACTTTTTAG